TATATATAAATGTGGCGAAAGATAATCGATGACTATAGGTTGTAATATCTGAATGATTTGTTTGAAATTAAATTGATTTTTTTACGGTCTAAGTCGTATGTTGCAATTTTCTCAATTTGTATGGACGCCATGTTATTCGGTATTAGACGTCTTTAACAATTTTCTCCTTATAGACGCAACAAATAGAAGTAAGATTAGTAGCGATCCAAAGCGCTTTTTTATCGCATTAAGCCTATACCCCCTTTCATTTTTCGCGAACACTCCCTTTTAGCGATTCAGATAAAGCATACTTTTCGATTTTACTAGACATATGTTATATAAGCACATGACATGACTTCAAGTACATTCTGAAAATGAATGCCGGCCAACTAAAGTAAATATGTGTTTACAGGTTTTAATAACAACTTCTCTTATTCAAGAGTTATTGAGAAGAACAGAAGTGTTTTCAATTTCTAATATGTAATAATGCAACCGGATAATTTTTTCATATTTCAAAATTGTCATGCTATAGTTTGTGTTTATTGAGTTATGAAAGGTTTTACTCAAAAATCAGTGAAAAAATGCTTATTTACTGCAAACTATAGACGGAATGGGATGTTCTTGTAGCTCCTTTAGTTTTGATTCTACGTTATACAAGTCCTGTGTATAAATGATAATTTATTGCATTGAGCATCATTCATGAATTTTGTACAACATTAATGTTATATATATTGGAAATAATCCCATTCAATCCGAGTTTGTGATAACGAACATAATCCTCTCCAATCCCAGGTAGAATTATAAGAGATAATCCCCTACAATCCAGATAGAGATAAAGAACATAATCCTCTCCAATCCCCGGATGAGATAACGAACATAATTTTCTCCAATCCCAGGTAGAGATGTAGGACATAATCTTCACCAATCCAAGGTTGATTGGTATGATCTTACTTTTCAAAGACAACTGTGGCCGGAGAAAAGGCCGTTTTTCGTTCAGAATTCTAACGGAAATTATTTTACCATGAAATTACCCAAATAAGTGAACGGTCCCTTTAACCAAAACTAAGGAGTCACAAAGTCATGCCAGTGATGTCGCATAAAGTTTACCCTCTGCTTCAGTCTAGTGTGCAGTGCTGGTATGTGTCAGTGTATTGTGAAGACGCTTAATAAAAAGTAGTATTTACATAGTAAACAGGAAACTTCCTAGGACATTTCCGTCTTTAATAGTTCGACTTTGTAACCTCGTAGCTCCTCTAATATCATGTTAAACACGAGTATGAGAAAATGAAATTGATTTGTTATATATTTACAAACAAGAAATTTAAAACATTTTAGTACTTCGCAGCCAATAGCATTTCAATAAGGGGAGTAATGATTGCTACAGAGGTAGCGATTATGCGCGATTATGCGAAATGCAAACATTTTCTCTCTAAGAAATGTTTATTTTCACTGTTCAGTGTTTTGTCTGTGACCGATTGGAAAAGGCAGATGACTGTGCCCTGCAGATCTACTACCTCCCTCGGCCTGGTGTACATTCAGGCAGTGGTTTAGGGGGCCGCAATACTGCACAACAATAATGTAGGGGAGCACAATTTACAAAAAAAAATCTGTTCATGTGTGCATACCCTACCAAACTAAAATAGACCTAATTCTGACTTTTTGTGATGAAATTAAATTTGTAATAACATTTTATGGTTACCAATAAGACTTACTGCATTATATAACTCTTACATATTGAATTTTTATTAAAAATTAGATTCCAAACGTCTATAATTTTAATGAATGTATAATTTACATCTGAATTAAAGTTCTAAACATGATTTATTTAAAACTAAAATTGTGTTAATGGATGGCCGACCCCCATAACGTTACTTTACTTAAAGTAAATACTTGTTTTTGCGCCCCTGACCCCCATGCAACTAATTATATTACATATACAGCTGAATTTAACCAGATGTAGAGGAAGTATAATTATCATGATAATAATATTATACAATACAATATATATATATATATATATATATATATATATATATATGAAGTAGATTCGAATAGTTAACTCCTGCTATGATAGCTGGAAACAGCCGAATACAGTAATAATCATAAACTCTGGAATAGGAAGACGACTTTTAGACACAAATTATAACTTAATAGTCCGAAGAACATGAAACACTGCATGTCGTCTTCCTATTCCACAGTTTTCTGGTTTATACTGTAGAATAAAGCATTTCAACCCTAGTGTGAATATTAAATCTGTTGTAAAGCAAATAGCTTAAAAATCAAATTCTTAAGTGAAATTGCTCTGTGTACATTGCACAATTAATATGTTTCATGTTCGTTGGACTTAGGGCTATCTAAAATAGTCATTTTTCTATTCCACAGTTTAACCTGGAGTCCTACTATAATATTTTTCATATAAAAATACTTGCTTTTTCCTATTTAACTTCCATGTCAGGTTATAACACAGTTTAACGTTACAGCAATCTATTTATCTATTTATCATGCTACATTTCTTTCTATTTTTCTAAAATACTGTATTTCAATCAATATAGATATATAGATAGAAAAATGTTAAGTTGTTGATAGATAGATAAAGATGTAGTGTGATATATAGATAGATAAATAGATAGATAGACAGATAGATAGATTGAAATGATTGGTAGAAAAGTAGTTTGATAGATAGATAGAAATTAAGTCTGATGGTTAAACACACTAAAACACACTAAAAGATAGATACAAATGGAGTGCGATAGATAGATACTAGATAGATATACACGTAGTTTAATAGATAGATAGAAATAATGTAGTGTTTTTTATAGATAGATATATATATGTATAGTTTGATAAATATATGTTGGACAGTGATGCAGTGTGATATATAGATAGAAATGTAGTATGATAGACATGTATATACAAATGTAGTATGATATAAATGTAGTGTGATAGATAAGTAGAAATGTAGTGTTATAGAAAAAATAGAAAGAGATAAATGTAGTGTGATGAATAGATAGATAGAAAGAAGAGTAATGTGATAGATAGATAGCTAGAAAGATAAAAATCACCTTTACATGAATTCAGAAAAACATTTTTGACGAACAAACCTTTCTATACTATAGTGAATTTAAAAACATACTTTTTCAGAATAAAGATTATTGATTTTTTATTAATCAAACATGGCAAACAAAAAGGTTAGAAATGTTTTAAAATTAAATTAAGTAAAATTCTTATAATATTTATGAATAAATCTACGCAACCTAATGACAAAGGCACCCAGATCTAATTTCTAAAATTTACAGATTTCACCCGGGCAAGAAATGTCCTTCATTAAGGTAAAAAAGAGACAAACAAATTCTGCCATGTAAAAAGCTAAATGTCTGATTTACAACGCCATTATGCAGGAGATGTTGTCACCTTTACATTTTCTATAGAAATAAATTAAGTACATTTTTTTAACACCTGCAATTGGAAATTAAATTTGCAATTGTGAATTTTCAACTTTCGGATTAAAGTGATCTTCGTCATTGGTTCATGAAATGCGAATAGAGTGCATGTAATTATTTTATTGAAATTACGTCGGCAATCAAGTTGAATTAAGGCTTTGCCACAAACTCAAATGTTTTAATCCTTTGTAATCTAATAGTGTAAATCTTTGATATTTCGAACTTATATTCTGACCTAACAGAATTAATAGTTTAAAGTATCTTATGTCTTCGACATTGGAATAAATATATATAAAGGAATTTGAAACTCAGAGTTTGTGGCAAAGACTCAATTTCTTTAGCAAGTATTTGGAGATTTCTGCAGTTCCAACGGCAGAATACCTGCTAGCCGGGCAGCAGCTGCTCTTCAAGTACTAGGATATAATCCTCTCCAATCCCAGGTAGATATACAGGACATAATCTTCTCCAATCCCAGGTAGAGATATAGGACATAATCCTCACCAATCCAAGGTAGAAATGTTGGACATAATCCGCTCCAATCCCAGGTAGAGATACAGGACATAATCTTCTCCAATCCCAGGTAGAGATGTAGGACATAATCCTCACCAATCCAAGGTAGATATACAGGACATAATCTTCTCCAATCCCAGGTAGAAATGTAGGACATAATCCTCACCAATCTAAGGTAGAAATGTTGGAAATAATCCCATTCAATCCGAGTTTGTGATAACGAACATAATCCTCTCCAATCCCAGGTAGAATTATAAGAGATAATCCCCTACAATCCAGGTAGAGATAAAGAACATAATCCTCTCAAATCCCAGGTTGAGATAACGAACATAATTTTCTCCAATCCCAGGTAGAGATGTTGGACATAATCTTCACCAATCTAAGGTAGAAATGTTGGAAATAATCCCCTTCAATCCCAGTTTGAGATAACGAACATAATCCTCTCCAATCCCAGGTAGAGACATAAGACATAATCTTCTCCAATCCCAGGTTCAGATATAGGATATAATCTTCTCCAATCCCAGGTAGAGACATAAGACATAATCTTCTCCAATCTCAGGTTCAGATATAGGATATGATCCCCTTAAATCCCAGGTATTATAGCAAAGCTTTAATCCGTGGATGTTTCGTGTGCTAGGGTTAAGAATGGTTTGTTTATATCTACGAGGTTTATATGTATTGATTGAATAATGCTGTACTTAGTAAAATAAGAAATGACCGTATACAAACACAAAAAATAGTTGTTCCTCTTCCCTGATTATCTTGCAGTAATGTTATATTTGAACATCAAATAACGTTTTACAAAATAACTGTTTACATAAAATGATAAAATTTTATTCTGGCAGACGTAACTTTAGTCTGACCATGAAATTCTGAAAAATGACGATTTAGTATTTATCACGTAATTCCCGTGTATATTGGTACACCCTGTATAGTATATATATATATATATACTCGAGTATATACTCGAGAGAAAGAACAAATCCAATAATGTTTATGAAACCTTTATTCAAACCAACCTTAACGGCACATTCGAGCGTTTCACATTTTATCCTCATTGGTTTCTTAGTTCTTCGTTTCTTGGCTCTTTGTTTCTTGGCTCTTCGTTTATTGGTTTTTTCGATTATGGTTTCAAGGGATGTGGAATTGTCATAATCCTAAATCCTGTTTGTTATACTCGGCTTTTAGGGCACTTCGCACCCATCTTCTATTTCAATTGTGAATATTTTCTCTTTACACTGTGAAACAAAAAAAAAAAATGTTGCGGATTTTATAAAAGAATTTCGAGGATTTTTAAAATTTATTAAAAATCGAATTTTTTAGAGGCAAATTTTTGAAAATTCTATCATCCATAACCTTCTTTGGGGTCACGTGAGGTCCCACAACAAATTTGGGCCCAGTCGGTTCAGCCCGTTTATTGGATACAAACAAACACCCACCCAGATAAGCAAAGTATATGATATATATATAAAATCTGTTTTCCTCATTTTTGCTCCAATCGAGATTATAAGGGTACTATTGAGATATAGTGCTCGCAAATTGTTAAAAAGATGATCACTTGTAATCACGTCGACAGTACCTTTAAGGTAACCGAGTGGACCAAAAAGTATAGAAAAAATGGAATGGAGTTCCCGGATTTTCTTGCACTCAGTAAGGTTGCGGAGGACAAAGAAATTCATTCTACAGATGAAGAGGTACAACAGAATAAAAACATAAAACAATGTTTAACTATTTTATTCTATTTTAAAATAGAAAGTAACCACTAACCATGGGCGTTGTAAATTTTTAGATTTATTCAGATCGTGATTTGATCTGATCAAATTTGGTTCTGTGAAAGTTTTTAAATTATGAAAATTTTAACCCAGTCCAGTGCCTTTCAAACCAATTGAGGTCAGGCTGGACTTCGAACAGTTTTGTTTCAATTATGAAGTTAAAACAAACGTACCTGGCACAACTACATTCATAAGATTCCTTGTGAGGTGACCGAGAGTCTGGCTGTTCTAGATATTGACGGAGAAGGTTTGATCCCAGTCGGTCAACTCCGGTTTCTGATGTGCCAAACACAACCAGGTCTAATATTAAACAGGGTTACCCAAAAAGGACGAGACATCGATGACAACATTATGGAACTCTTTAAATATCAAGTTATCAAATATTCTTAAATTGTGAACTAAAATCAAAAGCTTCCAGGAACCCTGATTGTATGAGACGATTAAAGGAACACTGAGCGTAGTTCCATCCATTTAAAGAAGGAAGTCCCTGATTCACCAGGATACCCTTTAAACATTTAACTGATCGAGGACAGAGAACTCAGTATTAATATCTATTAAATCTAGAATATCCTTTGTCCAACGCGGTTTTAAAAAATTAAATGTAAATATTGCTATTCTGCCACTTCTAGAAATTAGATATTAAAATTCCTTAAATATAAAACAGCTTGCTAACAAAGTGTTTAAGCGTCTCTGTAGCACTTAAAATTACGCTTTAAGCTTTACAGTCCGTTTAATCGTCTCTCGTCCTTTGTGGATTACCATGCATAGAAACTATCATTGATTACAGTAGAAAATATTTTTTATAAAAATGGGCTTTATGAATTTATTCAGAAAATAGTTGCCCTATGTTCCAGCGTACAAACTTTGCCAAGGGTAACCAGAATACTGTGGAATGACTCCATTGCACGCAGATTTAACAGTTCGGTCCTTATCCCAGAAAACTGTGGCTTTCGATCACAATTTGACCTATTAAACATAATTTTTTCGCCTTTTCTCTTTTAAACTTTTTAGTCGTTATATGCGTTTAAAACGAAAAAATGGGTGAATGTCGTTTGCGTTATTTTTAATTGTTGAAAACGCCGTCAAGAATGGTAAAACCTTCTATAAAAATATTTTAAATACGTTTTTAGAGATAAAATTGTTAAGAAAAGATCCCAAACACTTGATTATTTTTATTCTTGTACCATCAATCCTTAATAAAGATTAATTTAAATCACATTATTTTTGTAGAATGATTAAAAATTAAAAGCACAATGGTCTCCTGGTGGGCCCGGATTTAATCAGAAAAAATGTATTTCAAGGAGGGGAAGGAGAGGCGATGAAACCTGAAGAGTTCTCAAAATTTATTGATGGATTTCCACAACAGGACGGATTTATCAGGTTTATATAATATATATTTATTGATGTATTTTTACAATAGAACAGATGAGGGGGGGGGTGCAGGGCCGCCATGAGCCCTGCAAAGTGACCTCCAGAGCCTCCTGATACGTAGTATGTCCTCCAAGCCCAACGAACCTGTCTCCACGCATCTTGCTACCTCTCCATGCCCCGTATGTTGGTCTCCAATAAAAGATATTTGGCTTTTACATCCACAAAAAAAAACTTTTAAATAATCAGACCATGATAAATTAGTTTTTAATGATACGATAACAGTTTCGTTTAAAAAGTCTATTTTGATTGAGATTAAGGGTTCCAGTTTTGTTCTCTAAATTTCACAAATTTCCTAAATAAATATAAGAGGAATTTTATATTTTTCTTCAGGTTTACTTTGTACGAATTAAACTATATTAGCACCAATTCACAAAACAAAATAGCTTTGAAAAATATTGTATTTGTGCTTTTATTGTATACTTTGTGTAAACTTTTCACAAGAAAAAAAATGTTAAGATTAATTGAATGAATTAATATTTAAATTTTGTGGATTCTTTAAAAATATTGTGGATTCTACTATGAAGAGATATATTTTGATTTAGGCCTATGACACTTCCAGGCTATCCATGAGTGTCTACAAAAAATGTCAGCTTATTTGGTCCAGCCGTTTGGCCGGCCAGAGGGAACATAAATATAAATGTCTTGTTTTATTATATAGGATAGTAAGTGCTTAACTTACATTGCATTTTTTAAGGTACAGAGATCTAGCAATCCTGATGTCTGAAAAATCAATCAAATTCAATTGAAGGAGAAAAATTTCTATGTTTTCTTTAAACTTATATTTCTTTTCTTTGACATATTAAAATAAAGATTGATTTTTTATCTACAGGATTTTTATTATCTGAAGAATATGTGAGAATATGTATTAATCAGAATGATTGTCATCTTTTCCTTCTAATACAAGGGCCGCTCAGAGTTTTGTAGTTTTCTTGAAATATATGTCATTTATTACTGTTTGATTATTTGTACTCACTTCAATTATTTTCCTCTTATATTGACATAATAAAAGATGTTTAACTGAACTAGATAAAAATTTAAGTTTTTAAGTTCAGTTGGGTCGCTTTTTTTGCAGAAGATATACTCAAAAAACGACCCAAACACGATGCAAATAGGAAAGTGATGTAACAATCGTTTTTTTTCTTGTTTTTCTTCAGAAAAAGATATTGCAAAGTTTAATAAAAGCAAACTTAAACATGATAGAGTTTTGAAATATTGGAAGATTTATTGAATTTTTTCTTAAAACGTTCAAAAACAGTTAACAACACTAACTGTATCACAGATAAAAATGCGTAACTTCGTGCTTATTCAATTCATTAATTAAAAAATTCACATTTACTAGGCTGTCAACGCCAACCAATATTTTAAAAGAAAATTTAAGCTTTTAATAGTCACGATATATGAGTGAAATTTAAAAAACTTTTAGGGCTTTAAAAACACAGCATAAGATATATTTTATTTCGGCCCTAAAGTTTTTTAATAAACACAATTCAATTTTATTGATAAATGCTTTAAATCTACGAAAATGGGCTTTTTAAGTCTTTTAACGCCAGCCCATATTTTAGATGAAAATTTAAGCTTCACGTTATATGAGTGCTATTAAAAAATCTTCTAGGGCTTAAAAAAATAGTATAAGATATATTTTGTTTCGGCCAACAAGTTTTTTAAAATAAACACACTGGCCTTAAACCACACATTAGAGGCTCAGCCGTTCTCACATTTTTTAGAACAAATAAACAGAGAAATCACATAATACATAATATATAATAGAGAAAATAACATGTGGTGTAAATACTAAAAATGAATGAAGTCATAACTATTTATAACTCTTTGCCAAGATTTTAAGAATTGCCAAATTGAATTATTTATTAATTAGTCTAATAATATACTTTGATACCAAGGTATATGCGTTGAACTTTATGTCTAGAATAAGATGAGAGTTTAGTGCAGTGGACCAGATAAAAATATCTCAGTTTTCTCCTCTCGCACAGTTTCAGCAAATAAAGCAGTCCGTTCGGAGTTAACTTTCCACACCCAATTAGATTCAAACTCTTCAACAAAGGCAAAGTTTGATTAAAATCCTTGAAATGTTTTCCAGTGAAATGAGTTCTCTTACACTGAGAGTTGTAAGTGTACTCCCGCACAACCGGAGGAAACAAATAAGTCCTTGATCTGTGGCGGGGACAATAACTCAGGTTCAGATTTTCTTAACTAGGAAGAGAACCCTCGAACACTGTTAGATTATCTCAAGAAATTTTTATTTTAACCAAGTTTAAAGATTTTAATCTTCTGCCACACAGATTCAGCATCTGCCGTAGACCTCTGTTTATCAGATGTTGACAGCAAGTTAAATTTAGGTATTCCACACTGCACAGCGAAGAGTTCCAGTGAATTCAGTCATATTCTCTCCGGTTATGCCAGTCCAGTCCAGTTCCAGGTATTCAAGACTATCTCTACAACGCTCAAGGGTTTTTCCTAGTCCTCTATCCGTAAGTTGATTACAATAATTCAATTTAAAGGGACTGTAAAGGAAAAATGAAAGGGGGTATAGGCTGAAAGCTAATCACTTTAGCTCGCGATCGCGACCCATGAAAGTTTTATCTGATGTGCCTGTCTCGAGAAATTGATATAAAACTTTGTTAAATTATACGAAAGTTCATATATGTAAAATTTAGAAAATCTTAAACTTAAATCACGTGACCGGAACTATCACCAATGGCAGAGCAGTATACTGGTCACGTGTCTCCGCCTGTATCACGTGACCACTTTATTGCACTGACATTGGTGGAATTTCTGGTCAAGCAATATAAAAATAGAAATAACAAATATAAAATTAGAATTGAGTAAACCTAAGTTACAATTAGCTTTCTCTGGGATATCATCGTTTTCAGATTGGTTGCACACTTGCTGAATTCGATCTATCTAAACCCACTACTTTTATACAAAATTGTATATATATTAATTTTCGTATAAATTTGACAAAGTTGTAAATCAATTTCTCGAGATAGGAACATCAGATATAACTTTCATGGGTCGCGATCGAGAGCTAAAGTGATTAGCTTTCAGCCTATACCCCCTTTAATTTTTCCTTTACAGTCCCTTTAAGCTTTTCTAAACAGGGCAGGGCTTCATCGTATTCCAGAATATACTCCCCAATAATGTGTGTACGGACAAGGTTTACCGATTTCACGGATTTCCCGAAAATTTGGAGAAACAGCTGAACTCCTATATCTGTTAGATTGTTACATGATTCCAAGTTAAGGTTTTCTAAACAAGACAGGTCTATTTTAAACGCTACCAGATTGCCTCCTGGTATATCTGTATACCCTATGTTCAAGGATCTCAGGGTATGTCCAGACAGCTAGAGTATTACAAGCAGTCCAGCATCTGTCAGCTGTTTCCATGACATCAAGTTAAGAATTTCTAAACGCGGCAAACCTCCCTTTAAATGGGCCAGGTTTCCCCCTGTTGCATTCGTTCCTTGAAGACTCAGAGATTTGAGCGTATTCCCACAAAGCTGAAGTATCTGGAGAAGCCCTTTATTTATATTTTTTTTTACACGCCATTAAATCCAGGTTCTCGATAATAAGAGGGGTTTCAGAGCAGTGAAAGCTACGTTCTCCAGTCATATTTGAAAAACCGAGATTTAGATTTTTTAATGTCCTTCCACAAAGTCTGAATATCTGAATCAAGCCTATCACTGAGCTGGTTACAATGACTCATGATTCAGTAGGAAACCTAGCAGGAGTTTCTTGTATATTTTGTAGAAAATAGATTGTTCCATAACTGTTATTTAACTCATAACCATAAAATCAGAACAGGATTGTTCACAAAGATACCACATAATGGGAGGAAATATCTTGGTTGAAATCCATGAAAACAACTTTCAACGGGGATTTTCTGGAAATTGCTTTTTCGAGGAAAAAAACGATAGGAAGTCTCTTTTACAAATTACTCAGATAATGTTGTAAGTCATGCATGGAAATGAAACATGAGGACCCCTGCAGGGGCGTACGAAGGGGGGCCCTCGCACCCCCCCTCTCTACGAAAATCTCACTTTTTCCCTTTACAAAAAAAGTTTCATTAAAAAAGCTGCCTTCAGTGTAAATATATCTTTGATATCATTATTATTTTTCACCCATTGAAGCTTACACACAGTATTAAAAGGAAGGGTCTGATGAGTTCAATTAAGAAAATTACATAAATAATTTATTAGAACTTGTTATATGGTAGTGTGTATACGATGGAATGGTTTACATAGTTAAAAAATGTATCAATATTTTTTCTAAAAAGGGGTTTTTGAGGGGGAGGGGCACAACTTTTTTTTGCGCGCAAAAAGTGCCCCCCCCCCCTACACAAATGCTCTCGTACGCCCCTGGACCCCTGACGCTTAAAGCAAAATTAAAAATGGGGGAAAATCGTTTCTATTGAGGGGAGGGGAAGGAGGCAGGGGGATGATTATAAGAACTCCCTGCCTCTAATATTTACACATATTGTCACATTCGTCAATCCTCCATTTAAGTGTCGAGGATACTCCTCTTAACCTTCTCCTGTAACCCCTGATACTGAAAACATACTATAAACAAAATTTAAGAGGATTTAATTTTTAATTCAGAACTATAATAAATAGTAAGAATAAAATTAGTCCTCGATACTAGACCTATCGAAAATTATTGAGAACAGTTTAACCTTGCGATTTGCAATGTTGAAAAAGTAAATTTATTTTGCAAATTAACCATGATTTTATAAATTTTATTTATAAAAAAAGTTACATTTGTGCATATAACCATTAAAAACTGAAGACATGATTTTATATGACCCTCTGTTTAATGCTGGATTCAAAGCCCTAAAACCTTTATTTGATAAATAATCTGAAAATATCGTTTTTAGCTTTACAGGGAGTGACCGGTAATATATGGCAGTTGAACTGAGAATTTTTTACTGTGTTTGTTCAACAAGTGCGAAAATTCAATCTTTAAAATCCTCTTAGATAATTTTTAAGGGATGATTTTTTTAATTATTTAATAACGACAACGAAAAATGTAGTAAAAAGTCTACATTAAGCTAATAAGTTGTTTAGGAACAGGTTAAGCAAATAAAAATAAACTATTATCATCGAAAATAAGTAATCTTATTCAGTTATTGCTTTCTGTAATGTTTCATTGTTCACAAACATATTCTTTAGATTTCCTGGAATTTTTATTGAAAAGACGACATTTGAAGAATTTGAAGAAATCTGCGAACAAATTCATACAGAAAAAAAAATTCAATATAGCGATAAAAAATAAATAATTTATTCTAACATCGATTTATTGAGAAAATTTCAATTAAATATATGGTTTCTTAAACATCATAAGAGTAATCTGTAAATTTTTTTACATGTTTCTTCGTCGTTATTTAATAATTCTAAAATCGATTCTCAAACGTAACCACCCAAATGGATGATTTTTAACGTCGACTTTGCGCTCAAAGTAATAATACATCATTATAACGTTTTACATGTCTCAACTGAATCCTGAAAAATTTCTCCACAATTCTACATTCTAAGTTCAACTACCATACAATGCCGGTTACCATACTTCCTTTGAAATTGTTTAATACTAAAAATGTCCTCAATTTTTTCTGTAATAAAAATAAATTCGTCACAATTATAATAATACTAAGTTTTCTGAATTAAAAACATTGATATCTTATTGATATACAAATACAAATATTTTAATTGTACAAATATACAAATATTTTAATTGTATCGTTGAGTATACTCATAAACTCATGTCTACCATCCATTTAGTTGTACTGCTCATTTTGGGAAGAACTCTAGTATTAACTTCTACATTATAAAGAGTACATAGTACATACAGACGGAGTGCAAATAAACATCGCTAGTATGCATCGTCCTAGATTTACGCAGGATTAAAAACAAATATATCAAAAAAGTGTATTATAAATTCTTAGATTTATTTAGTGTAGTCTGCATTTACATTCTTGTTTTTGATAAACATTAGACAACTTAAGGTTTTCCATTTTATTCAATAATTTGTAACGGATAAAAAAAAATGAACTTTAGCTTAGTCTAGTTTTTGATCAAGCTGCCGACCATTGCCAAGAATGAATTGAGATCTGGCAACTGTGCTCCGATCTCTTTAAGGTCGGAAATCTTTCTTGCTCGTTCCTCCTGGTCCTCTTCTTGGCTCTCAAGCTCGTCTTCGATCCGAGTCCAGTCCTCAGCCCCGTCCCCAGTCCGTTTCCAGTTCTGATCCTGGTCCTTAGTTCCAAACAGTTCATTAGTGATGTCCACCTCTTCACTCCTCAAGTTGGTTCTGTAAATACAACTTTAAATATAAAAATTCTCCAACTACCAAGCCCCCCCCCGCGCGGCGCTGTAATTTCATACCCGATTCATAACTCTTTCGTTTTTCTAGCTTAATTAGTCATTTTTGTAGAGAAACCACAATCAAAATAACAAGTTTTTAAAGGAAATGTTCTTTAAACTTAAAACATTTAGAAGCACCGTTGTGAATCGGACATGCCATTGCAATACTGTAAATGGAGGGTCACTTTAAATTACGTTTACAGTCTCTTTAATCTAACTTGGTATCGTGCTTACCTTTACAACTGATAAGAGAGAATACTGAGAACCTGGATCTAGTATCCTGCTTACCTATACAACTGATAAGAGAGAATACTGAGAACCTGGATCTAGTATCCTGCTTACCTATACAACTGATAAGAGAGAATACTGAGAACCTGGATCTAGTATCCTGCTTACCTATACATCTGATAAGAGAAAATACTGAGAATCTGGATCTAGTATCCTGCTTACCAATACATCTGATAAGAGAGAATACTGAGAACCTGGATCTAGTATCCTGCTTAACTATACATCTGATAAGAAAGAATACTGAGAATCTGGATCTAGTATCCTGCTTACCAATACATTTGATAAGAGAGAATACTGAGAACCTGGATCTAGTATCCTTCTTAACTATACATCTGATAAGAGAGAATACTGAGAATCTGGACCTAGTATCCTGCTTAACTAAGTATCGGAGAGGATACTGAGAACCTGGACCTAGGTTTCTCCTTACCTTTGTATCGGAGAAGATCCCGAGAACCTGGACCTAGTATCCTACTTACCAATGTATCGGAGAGGATACTGAGAACCTGAATTTATGTATCCTGCTTACCTTTTATCGGAGATGATACTGAGAACCTGGGCCAAGTATCCTACTTACCTATTTATCGGAGAGGATACTGAGAACCTGGATCTAAGTATCCTGCTTACCAATGGATCGGAGAAGATCCCGAGAACCTGGACCTAGTATTTGCTTACCTATGTTTTTGAGAGGATACTGTGAACCTGAATCTCAGTATCCTGCTTACCTATGTATCGGAAAGGATACATACAATCTAGACCTAGTATCCTGCTTACCTATGTATCGGAAAGGATACATATAACCTAAACCTAGTATCCTGCTTACCTATGTATCGGAAAGGATACATATAACCTAGACCTAGTATCCTGCTTACCTATGTATCAGAAAGGATACTGTGAACATAAATCTTAGTATCCTGCTTACTTATGTATCTGAGAGGATACTTAGAAACTGGACCTAGTATCCTGCTCACCCTAGTATCGGAGAGGATGCTTAGAACCTAGGTCTATTAACCTGCTTACCTATGCATTGGAGAGGATGCTGTGAAACTATGTACCCGGAGATCAGCCATCTCTGTATATTCATAACCAGGAGTAGAGGATTGAGTTGAAGCGAGGGTAGGAGAGCTCCGACCACTCCCAAAAGAAGAACCTTGGGCGGAGAGGTAAACTTCGACATATGGAGGATAAGGGGAGGATGTTTGTGGAGGATGATACAGGAAGGGTGAGGATGAGGTTGATAGAGCAGAGGATGGTGGAATAAACGGAGATGATTGTTGAGTTGAGAAGATTTCACTCATTTCAGGGGATACAGTTCTTAAACATAAAACAATAATTAGAAATAATGGGCATCCTATCATCAGATTTTAATCACTAAAGTTGGCTCTACCATAAGATATGAGTTTGAGCGATTTTATAACTTGCAATTCGTTCTTTAACGAACGGTTTGTTTAGTTTTGTTCCGACTTCAGACTCAATATTTTCAATGTCAAATGTCAATATTTTGAGTGTAAAAACGTAAACTTCAAGAGCAGAGAAAGGCAGTATTGAAGTATTAATGCCTATAATGAAATGGTTTACGGCAGTACCCTCCAAACATACATTGATAAATGAAGACAAGGAGTTTATGGATGCTTTTGTCTGAAATGAAACAAATTGAATTTTACTCAAACTTAGATTTGGAAGACAAAACATTTTGCATAATCGATACCAAGATAAAGTTCTAAGAGTACAGTTCTGTGCAAAAAAGAATATATAAAAAATAGTTCCCAAATAATAAACCAACGGTCTTTCCAGTTGAATAAAGAATTGTTTTTTGTATTAAGAAGTATTTTGAGGTGAACTGACGATCTAAAGTTTAAAAAGCAGGGATATTAAAAGATGATGTTCAGCTATATATTATATATATAACTTGAATTGGAATCCAGCGTTGCCTGGAATTTTCTATATAAAAGTCGACCTACTCAACTTAAACCTCAACTTAATAACATTTCCGTGATTCTACTGATTTCCCCAATCAAATGTGAGGCAAATCGGTCACAAGGGTTCATGTGTAATGATTGGACATCCAAACATCCCAACAGAGATTACTACTTTGTATATTATTATCATTATTATTAATAACATTCAACCTACAGTCAACGTATCATGTCCTATAGGCTATGTTACGTTGAGCTCCAGGGTCGAGCTCCAACCACTTACCCTTGTCTACTTAGGTTTTAGTGGATCATATCTGACGGTGAATTTTTTAAGATTCAGTGCATTTTGCCAGCGTATGTAAGGAGGCATGAAATTGCTAAACATGTTAGCATAATTAATTAAGCAGTACGCACCTCTGCTTGGGAATCGAAAACAGTTTTTATTATTTATTATTCAAAATACAAGAAGAATCTGACCAGGGGGCGGCAACTACAATTAATAGGAATGGGTTTAAACAAATAAAAATGTTACCTGAAGGGCCTTGAATCTTACTACAGGAACCTTAAGCAGAGCTACTCAACCTCCTGCTCATAATACTCTGGTCCATTTTAAGATGAAACCTTTCATTTAAATTATGCTTAAAGTGTTGCCATTTAACACCCATTACAAATGCCACTGCTTTATGTGTAATTGCAGCTTGCAAGTGTTCTTTTTTCATAAAGTTCTGAATTAATCCCACTTGCGCTTGGATCCTCATCCATGATTTGGTATATGGATCTTCAGGATGCTCAAGTAATTCTCTTAGAATATTTAATAATGTTGAATTATATTTTGTTTTGATTATACAGTAAATAAACAATGCTTGCATGCCCCTGAACCTTGCAGAATGTGCTGGTATTACTCGGCCAAATACATTTTACCTCCCGATGGTTATCAATCCCACAGTAGATAAAGAGTTCCTTTACTTCACATTCCTTGAATCCATGTTAATCCGTTTCATGAAAGGAACATTTAAACTTTTTCCCTTGAGGGTAAACACTGACTCCAGCCTAGGCCACATCATCCAGTCGGTTATTCATCTGCTCCTGTCCGGCCCTTAGTTTGGCAATTTCTTCATGCGTTTCCGCCACTGACTTAAGAAGCCTTACATTAGAGTTATACGAAGGCTCAGAATTGTCTAGAAGTTTCTTAATTTGAAGCTCAACCTCCGTTGGCTTTCTTGCCGAGACACTTCTGGGTTGGGGGGGGGGCTCATCTCCCCTCTATCTTGATCTACTTCCGCCGCTGTCTGTACCCTTTGTGTCTGGGCCAGTCAACACCTCTCTTTAAATGCTATTGAAGGTGTCGATCACCTTCAACTTCAACTCTTGGGAGAAAGCTGCCTCATTGATTATCCTGGTTTCTAGAAGTAGAACTACAATATCCTCCATGCAGTGGCTTGTTTCAAATTTGGCAATAATTCTTTGAACTCATCATACCGGGTGCAATATTTCTTGAGATGACCCGATCATCAAATCTGGGAGGGAGCACCACACCACCAAAACAAAGTTTATTTGAATCTATAACCTTCTCAAGAAACTGCGGATGCCCTTCTGATCCATGCACAATAAAACATGCCTTCAACTCCTCAGCATTCTTGTCAGTAACAAAAAAAACTGCTTCATTGTAGCAAACCTGTCCAATTGAAGTGATATTCTTGTTCATCATATTTGGTACCATTAACACATGTCACACATGCGCTCTCTGTGTACAAACAACCACGGCATTGCAGTTCTGTACAGACTTCCTGGATTAATTGATAGCATAACCCAGCTAAAATGACGACCCTTATTCTTGTAAATTTACCCAATTCTTGCAATGTTTTTTTAAAAAGAAAAATATTTCTTCTTCGAATTGGAAATTAAGCTAAAGCTACACTAACAGTTTCATAATCTTTAAATGATGCTCAAGTTAAACCTTGCAGTAGCAATATTACCCAGATTTAACCCTACATCCCATTCAACACTGCTATGGTCAGCAGCTCCTGGCTCTTAAATGCTCATTCTGAACCACTATTTTATGATTTAAAAGTACACCCTTTCCCGGACCTTATTCTTCATCAAAAACTTTCGCTCATGCACTCCATAGCATTAAGTTACGCCCCTCCTTCTTTCTTTGTGGATCCAATGTTCCCCAGGAATTTCAATTTCAATAGCCCTTAAGAAATCGAGATCAATTTTTTGTTAACAGATGTGCAATTTTATTTTTAAACAGATTTCCTTTATATTCTTTTACAACCTGTTGGAATGAACTTGACCCCGCTTTGTCTTTTAATGGTAGTACAAATAAATTTAAATATAAACCTAAACTACATTTTCTGGATAGATTATCGAACTTAGAATGCAACCGGCTATTTTGGTATACTTGTTCAACTCTAGTTTTTTAGATTAGGTTGGGGTTTTCAACGTCTTAAATATGATATGTTTAAATTTGTCCATGCTTTTTTATACATATATTGAAAATAATATATATGTACCCTTGTCTTAAGAAATATTTAGCTTATTTTTGATCTTTTATCCTGATCAAAATAGCATGTTGTAATAATATTTCTTGATCAAGAAACATTTATACATTATCAAGCCCAACACTTTTTGTTATTTCTGACTGATTAGATTAACGCCATTGTCTCTGCCTCCTGTTCTCAAACCACAACCGCCTTGTCACTCCGCCATTTATGTGCTCCATTTATGCACATTGCACAAAGTTTGAATCTAATCATTATTATGCTGAACCAGAGGAGCTCGTGTGAAAAGAGCCTGAGCTATCTTGTAGCTAGCAGGCCAAAATATATATGTAATTTGTCAGTTATTAAATTAATATATGTATGTTTAAACTTGTGACCAAATAAATTATTTGATTTGAAGTAGTAATCTCTGTTTGTATGTCTTATTGTTTAATTGGAAGTATATTTAGAACCACATTGGAATATTATTAGGTTGGTTTTTACATTCTAAATCAAGTAAATCGATTTCACTAAGGAAAGCATAGTTTCCAGACAAAGCTGGGTTTTTAAATTAAGGGAAGACCTGATAGATGATGTTGGTAGGGAGGGAACAGGTTCCATCTCCTCCGGGTCATCTTCCTCACCATTCTCCTGGGAGTATCATTGTATCATTGTTATTATTATTATTATTATCATTATTATCATTATTATCATTATTATCATTATTATCATTATTATCATTATTTTCATTATCATTATTATCATCATAATCATTATCATTATTATTATCATCTCCTTCCTTCTGGGAATATCATATTGTCATTATTATCTTAGTATCATAAGTATCATTATTATCCTTGTTATCATTAGTATCATTATTATCATTATTATCATTCTTTCTAACCTGCATTTCAAATCTAATAAGCTGAGCTCTATAGAACCCTGTAGATGAATCTCTACTATACCGAAACCTTAAACAAGTATGTACAATCCTATAATTGCCTAAAGGTGTACGTAAGATTGCAGACTGCGTCAAAATGTATTGACATTTGCAAACTGCAGCATACAGGTGTACATACAGTTGTACACTTCAGCACAAAGCTGTACATACAATTTCACACTACGGCACTAAGGTGTACATACAATTGCACACTGCGGCACAAAGGTTTACATACAACTGCACAGTGCAGGATTAAGGTGTACATTCCATTTTACATTTTGGCATAAAGATGTATATATATTTGCACGTAGGGGTACAATTGTGTACATTCAAATGCAAACTGCAGCACAAAAGTACGCAATGCGCAAACAATTGCACACGGCAACATAAAAGTGTGCACTGTACATACAATTGCACACTGCAACATAAATGTAAACATACAACTGCAAACAGCACATTGCAATGTAAAGATTGCAAGATGCGGTACAACTGTATGTTCAAATACAAGCTGCTGACAAAGGTGCACATTGCAGCACTAAGATGCACAGTGGACTAACGGATGCACACTGCAACAAAAATGTGTAAATACAATTGCACACTGCAGCACAAGGGTGTGCTTACAATTACACGTTGCAGCAGGGGTTATGTTCATTGTACATCCAATTGCAAACTGCGACACAAACGTGTACAGAAAACAGACAAGTCAAATAATATTCTTTTACTTAAATTACGGTTACCTGGAAGTGGTGGAAGTGACTTCATGTTTTTTCTTCAAGTGCTTTGTTAGATCAGTTCCCCTTAAAGAATATTAATTGATTCCATTATTTAACGCTTTGAAGTCAAAAATTACGTTGCCTTAAAAGTAAAAATATGTAATGATGATATTGTCAAAATTTGAAAAAATCATATCTCACCTTCATTACTGGGTTTGATTTACAGCTGAATCCACAGCCTTCCATACAAGTGAGAACATCTCCTTGATGAATTCTCAAGTGCTGCTTCAAATCCGCAGCAGACTTGGCTTTATGCTCACAGATATCACAGGAATAATCTCGATCCTATTGTTAATATTAATATTAAAAAGGTGCCAAAATAATTCGCATAAATTCTGTATATTGTTTGACTATATTTACATTTTTTTAATAAGAAGCCGAGAGTGTGTTATTTATTTTGGTTCCCAAGGTTTGATAATCGCAAAGAGATCAGGTCTGCACGCTGTGCTGGTTAGAGCAAGACTCTTTAGTTAAATAAATGTCAACTTTAACAGAATACAGCTCTTAAATAATAATGCCTTATTTTATTTTAAAACAGTACAAAGTCCAAAAACCATAAAAATCTTAGAAAAACGAACATAGTTATTGCCCTTTACCACCTGGGAGTGCCTGTATTTAATATGGTTCTGTAAGGAGGATGGAGTACCTGTATTTAATATGGTTCTGTAAGGAGGATGGAGTAGGCCAAGTGACTCCACACTCCTTGCACTCGTATCGATTGATATGACTTCTCATGTGATCTCTCAATAAACGCTCCAGCGCAAAGGATTTGTTGCAGTGGGTACAGGTAAACTCATTGTTGCCGCATTGTTGTCTTTTCAGATGATCTAGTAGCTTAACCTGAAAACAAATTAAAATGTATTCACAGATTGCTCATCATTAATTTACTTGTTATTTGTAATGATTATTTAAATTGAATTAAATTAATCCAACTGGCGAAGATTGCCCCCCCCCCTTTTTAAAACTTAATCAAACAATTAATCTATTTTATACATTTATCATTTGAAATCCTAATGTTTTGGGATTGAGAAATATAAATTCTAAAAAGAGATAAGGGGGGGGGGTGATTTTTAAAACAAATATAAACCCTGATCATTATTAATGTTATTAAGAATCCTACCCTGTTGGCGAATACACATCCACAAGTCGGACATCCTGCCAACTTCTCCTGAGTATGACTGCGAAGATGCTCTTTAACCTAATCAGATCTACTAGTTCAACATTGCACTCGGATTCGGATTCTAGTGAGAAACTCAAGTTTCAAGAGTTAACTTTTTATTTTATGTTTTTAAGTGCTGAAGACATAATTTAAAGTGATCCGATCCTCTGAACATGGAAGAGAAATCAACCTTTGAAGGACTGGGGGCAGGTACACCCATATATATATACAGGGTGTTTCAATAAACATGGGAATTAATTGACTTTCATATCGCCCTTGATCCGTGCGGCATTTTTCATGAACACAATTATTGCAGTATTCCAGTTTAATCATCTAATATATAAAAAAAATCTGGTCTTGAGATTTTTAAAATGTGGTCTACCTTTTTTGTATTTTCAAAATTTACGGAGATGTTAAATTTTTTTTTACGAATTTCTATTCATTGCATAAATCAAAATTGTCTTAATATCTAATATTTTCGTCAATTTTTAAAACACAAGAAAGGTATAGACCACTTAATGAAAAGCGCTCAAGACGTACAGCCTCATTTTTATACTTTCTTTCAGTGCTTAGGATCCATTCAATTTTGATGCGGATCCGGATCCTAGATCCGCACTGGAAAAAAATGGATCCGGATCCAGGTCATTTCTTTAAGATTTACTGAATTTTTTCAACAAAAAATTTTTTTTACTTTTCTAACTGACACATGCCTTTTATACCTACTGCCTGAGTCCTCAGACATACTGCATAAATGCTTTAGACCTACTTCCGGTCATTGGATTTAGACTTTTTTTTATAAATCTTTGGAAAGCCTTGAACAAAAGAAAGCAGATTGTACAATTTTTGCGAAGATGTTTTGCATAGTTTTTTTGCACAATTGCCTCTCAAGAGAATTTGCACAGTTTCAGTTTTCCTTGAATAAAAATTTTGTTTTTGAAAATTTTGCAAATATTTTTGCATATATGAATTCGTCGACGCGTGGTGAGGGCTTTTCGAAAATTTATAATTTATTATATTTCGCGAAATTTTTGGTTTCGCACATTTTTTGCTTAATAGCTTGAAATTGCAATAAATATTTGATATTTTGCAAACTTGCAACTTTTTTTGAAGTTTATTAAAGTAAAGTCCAAGGGCTTTTTAAAAATGTATCAAATGTTATAAATTTGTATCACAATAAGGAAATAGAAGGGGGGGTCCCCTGGACCCCCCAGACTATTTTGGGTAAACCAGACGTCAGCCTGAATAGGGTTAATTGAAAACATAAGCACATTAGCACAGTACATAATTTTATTAGTAAAGTAGTGCTTAGGATCCGGATCCGGATCCGTTGGATCCGCAAAATTTTGGCTTTCTGGATCCGGATCTTCAAAAATTTGCGGATCCACGGATCCAGATCCAATGCTAGAATAATAGATCAATGATTAGAAAATTAGTTCATTGATTAGAAAATTAGTTCATTAATAAGAAAATTAGTTCATTGATTATAAAATTAGTTCGTTGTTTAAAATATCAATTCATTGATTAAAATATCAATTCATTGATTAAAATATCAATTCATTAATTAAAATATTATTCATCTATATATAAATTAAGCTTGTCTGTCTGTCTGTTTGTATACAATAAACGTCAAAACGGTTAAACCGATCCGGCACAAATTTTGTGTGGGACCCCAAGGAGGGTTTATGAATAAACAAAATTTTAAAAATTTGTGTTTAAAAGTCTTTTATTTTTGTAAAATTTTGAAATTGCTCGAAAAAATATTTTGAAATCCGCAAACTTTTTGTCTTGTTTTTGTTTTATACTGTACAAAGAGAAGATGCTTACAGATAAAGCCACAATTAAAAGATAAAATAGAAGATGGGCGCGAAAATTAAAAAACTAGTTCATTGATTAAAATATCAATTCATTAATTAACATATTAGTTTATTGATAAAAATATCAATTCATTGATTTATTGTATTGATTATTTTTAATCTTTTCCTTAATCTTATTTACCAACCTTGCTACGTGCCAGTAGTACTCCTGGGGATGGTCGAAGTCCGTTTCTCTCTCGATACAATCCCCCCAAACACACTAAACAATAAGTAAAACAGAACTTTAAGAAACTGTAAGCGTAAATTCAAGTGACCCTCCATGCAAAGATGGCAATGTCCGATTTACCACGGTACCCTTGAAGCCTTTGTCTGATTAAGTGTGAATTAGATATCAATGTTTTTGTTTCTTTAAAATGATCATTTTCATTTGCGGTTTCTCTGCGAAAGTGACCTCGCATTTCTTGCTTATAAAAAGCCATGGAGAAACTTTCATAAATAAACACTTTTTGAATCAGAAAAACGATGGTATCTTCCACATTTTTGATTAGATTAAGGTTTCAAGGGTACTGTTGCAATTCTGGTATTGCTGATATTGCATGGAGGGTCACTTTAGCACACAATTTCATTCATTTTCACTTAATAAGATTTTTTTCCCCCTAAATTAGCGAATACCAAAAAACGCGTTGGGAATAAAAACAAACCAACATTAAACAGATAAATAACACGATTTTGTAATAAGATAAAATGTCGATCAGTACTTTTTCATTTAGTGAATTTTTATTTGTGCAAGCCAGCTTAGGTAGAGATGGGCACTGGGTATTGGGTATCGAAGTATGGCCGGTGTTAAAGCTAAATTATGAACTCTAAAGGTGCTACACAGTCTTTTTAATTTAATTTCAAGAGCTCACTTATATATAGATTATAAAATGTTTTAATAAATAACTTAGTTTAATATCGTTTGTTGAGTAAATCTGAGTAAATTATTTCCATGCCGAGGTTATTAACTTAAAAAAATATCCCTCTATTTACCTTAAAAGGCTCAGCTAGATCGTGAAACAGATTCCGTTGAGATGGATCCAACAAACATCCCTTTAATCCCTTTACAAGTTAATTCAATCAATCAAAAGATAACGTAGATGGAATCCCTGAATTCCTGAGGATCAATAAAACAACAGAATCCGTCAGAAGGGATTCATATAACATCCTTTTAATCTATTTACAGTAACCTTTAATCAAGGGATTCCGTTATCTTAGTCCAATAAACATCCCTTTAAAGTCACTCAATAGATTTTGTTAAAAATGGTCCAATAAACATCTCTTTTAAATCACTCAATAGATCATACATACCTTTAACCCTTTTAACATAGTTCAATCAATCAATCAATCAACATTTTATCAGCCTGTAAATCCATCTCAAACAGTTGAAAATCATATACCACTTGTATTACTAAATGAGTAAGTGCTTCATCTTCAAATAATCCTTATATATTTAAAACCAGTGTTAAGGATCCGGATCCAAGGGGCCAAATATCAACCAAAACCTGCTAATAATTAATTTTGCTCTCAAAACACAAATAATTATGTTTGTTAATTAATGAGAGATTAGTAAAACTTCCAATCTCAATAGTTCCTTAAGTTTTAGTATAATAATAAATGAAATGAAATGAAAGATAGATCGTGGAAGTCCCCCAACGTGGGATCCCCAGACCGACTCCGAGAAGGGGACTCAGTCAGGTGCTGAATCCCCGACCGATTCAATCTGGCACCCTAATCTCATTCCCCCTACTCCAAGGAAATTTAATTAAGGCAGGTACAAACCAGACGCTGTCTAGCCATACATCCTGATGGCGAAAGTGTACCCTGCAATCAAAAGTGAGGCGAGAAGCAGTAGCTACCTGGAACAATAAAACAAGCGAAAAAAGATGAAAAAATGTTGGAACATTTTTTCCCTTAAAAATCAGTAAATGTTCAGGACCTGGATTCGGATCCAGTTTTGGATCCATTTCAGTGCGGATCTAAGATCCGGATCAGAATGAAAAAGATCCTAAGCGCTGATTTCATCATTGAATCAATCAATCAATTAATCTTAGTTATTCTAGTCCTTCAATCCTTCATCAATCTAATAATCTGTAAACCCAGACAAGCCTACCTGAGATTTTATAAGGTTCAGACCATGACTCTTAATCTTAGAATGGAATGAATGGTAGTTTATGTGTCGAACCATCTCGGAGGAGAGGTAGCATTCATACCCACAATCATCCCACAGACAGACAAACATATCCTATAAATAAAACCATCAGATTTAAAGATTTAATTTGGGTATTAAAGAGAAGTTACTTTTAGAAATAAAATCTAATCAATCTACTTGGATAAAGCTTTCTAAACAATAGATATTTAAGAATTTAAAATCTATAAAATAATTCCATCAAATAAATAGGTTTATTTCAAAAATCTAAATCTAAAACATTCCAAACTTCTTGAGAAATCAGAATCTGCGACTAAAATAAAAATGTTTATTTACAAGCCGCCCCCCCCCCCTAATTGTAGAAAATAAAATGGTTTTGTTCAATTCACAATAAAAGATTAAAAGCTGAATCAAGATTACACAAGTGAAAAAATATATATATTTTGCTTCTTGATTCGGATTTATTAAAAAAGTTGTCATAAAAACTAAAATTCGGATCACACAAACTAAAGCGTACAATGTACAATTTCTGCAAATAATGTTAAAAGAACTTTTAATTTTCGATGAACATTGAATTCATGAATCCAGAAAATGTGAAAAATATGATAAAGTAGGGGGAAAATGGGGGGAGAAGTGATCTGAAAACCCTTAAACTTACTCCTGATGTTGGTAATGAGATTCTTGACTAACAGCTAGGTGTTTAAAACACCTAGCTGGTATTTGAAAAAGCTTTAAAAAACATGAAAAATGGAAAAAAGTGGGGAAAAATAATTTTTTCACAATCTTTTCTATTTCACTTAAAAGAAAAACAAAAATGGAACACAAATGGAACACAATTGGTGCCCATATGCAAAATATCATTCTGATACCACATAAAATGAAGACAGGATTCCCAAATGTATTCAAATTGGTCAAACTGACCCTCCCTTTTAAGAGATAAAAAACTTGGAAATTTATTATTTCTTTACAGTGTAAACTCTTAAACAACCGGACAATATATGAATTATATCTCAATAAAATGTTCAATTAGGAATAAAAAAACAAGTGCATAAAAAGTTAACCCGAAACTATGCAGACAGAGTTTCAATCTTAAACTAAAACCAAGGAAGTGTTTCCATCTTATTATAAAAAAAAACCTAACAACAAAATAAGAACACAAAAATATATGATATTATTGACAAACTATATTCTGGAATGAATACTTAATAGGTGTGGTGAATAAATATTAGGTGAAATTTAAGAGGGGGCCGGGGGGGGGGGAGGGTGGAATACTGTTGGTCAATTTAGAATATTGGAACGTGGAGGAAATAGGAATGGACCAAGGGAGGCTGGGGTTAAATTGGGAATCTAAAAAACCATGGCTCAAAAATTAAAACTGTAACACAAATTAAATTTTTTAATTTTTTGGACAAAAGGGAAAAATGTCAGCAAAAAGTAAGAACATTGATTATTTTTCCACCAAAAAAGAAAAGAAATTCAAAAATTTAAGAAATTCACTCGCAACGTCGCATGCAAGGCTTTTATAAGAAACTTCAAATTTTAAATTCAATTCAATTTATCACTTTCTCCGTAATAATTTCAGAGATCAATGCAAAGAATTAACTTTTTAAAAATAAACAATACCTGACTCGTGTCCTCAGCTATTCTAACATCTGTATCTTTTATATGAGATCTAACATGACGGATAAACTCAGCATACTAAAAACAATATTTTTATATATTTTACATAATATAATATATATGTCTATATTCTGCTTGTCTGTTTTTATCCAATCAGGCTGAATCGATCGACGATCGGTCCTTAGTTTTATGTGGCAACTCACATGACCCCACGAAAAAATTAATTTTTTGAATTTTCTTTTTCATCAATGTGTTAGATAATAATATAAATAATATTTTATCTTTTCTTTTACTCCGATATTTTTTATCAGAACTTGTCATATTTTGCAATTAAAAAAAATCAAAAAAAACGCAATTTTTGACACCCTGTTATGACATTAAAAACTTTATAAAATAAATAATTTTTTGTGTGTGTATTTTAGGGTTCATTGGGAGTATATATTTAAAAAATGGGCTATTTATGTCCAACGAGGCCGGAGATAAAAAATAGGAGCCGACGGAGGTCACTTTTCAGAGGTTCCAAGACTCCGGAAAGAGATATCGACAATCTGACTTCATATCCTGCTCCTAACAAATATATGAGTCTACATTCAAAAATAGAACCGGCTGCTATTTATAATGAAAGAGATATTACAAAATGTCTTCCTTTCCACAGGTTCTTTATTTTCCAAGATCATAAAAAAAATTAAAAATGGAAAAACGATCCAAAACCGATTGTGACAATACGTTCGTTTTTGCTTCTTTTTTTTTGCATCGTTTTGAGTCGTTTTTTGCATGTAACTTCCTCCAGAGTCGTACAACTTTGACATATTTTAAGACAATGAAATGTTTATAATTATTTTTTTAAATTGCTCTTTTTACATTATGCCAAATTTTGACCCTGAAACAAGGAACAGGTGCTGGTCTGAAAATAAAGATTAGAAATACTAATGCATGGCGGAACCGAAAGGAGCGAAGCTGATAAACTTCATCATCATTCCGAAGAATTCAAAGAGAAGACATCTAGGAAAGGAGAATACTACTCCTGTACTAAACTTTGTAGGTGGGTCACAGATACAAGGCCTAGGTTAGGTGGGGCTACGACAACCGCTATTCTAAACTCTCGCATAACGCATTTTTTCTTGCTCTGACAGAAGATATTGGCTTGAACGAAGAAAAGAGAAAAACTAGTCGCTCCTTAACGTTCAGACCAAACTTTTTGCAAACAAGAAAAAAGCTGACTTTAAAAATGTACAATTCTCAAAACTGTAAAACTTCCCAATTTTTTTTAGGGTGCTTTTAAAGTCTAGAAAGTCAAAAACTTTATGCTAAGAAAAGGATAAAACTAATCAATCATGTATGTACCCATGTACAATTGCAATTGTACAATTGTTGAAAAATGCAAAAAATAAATGTTGTGTCAGTAAATAACTTACTTCAGGTCTAGTTCTGCGTCCACTTGATTAAACTCCAGTCCAAACTCGACTGTGTTCTTTTCTTTAAACTAAAGATTTTGATTTGGTGATTTAACATTCATTTAATATTTCTTGTGTTGTTTAAAAAACATGCACTTATGAAAAAATAATTATAATTAATTATAATTATGACAAAAATGGATACGGATCAAAGTCGTAAACATTTCTTCATGATTTAGTGATTTTTAACGAAGGAAAAAAACAAGTTTTTAAAAAAACGTTTGTTTATTTTTATGCTGCCTAGAGATGAACCACTCAGAGATTAGTAAGCAAGGGTCCATGTTATTCCATTTATAATCCCAGTTGAGATCAGGGTTGAAAGAGGTTATTGTATACTTATGAAAATACACTTTCTGTTTCATTGTGAGCTTTTTGTGTACATGAACTACACTTCATAAATGTGTACTGCATTTAGGGTGTAAAAAATGTAAATAACAGAAATCATAAAAAAAATATTATGTCCGAAAAATAAACACTCCCTTGTAGTATAGAACGTGGAGGAAATAGGAATGGACCAAGGGAGGCTGGGGGTTAAATTGGGAATCTAAAAAACCATGGCTCAAAAATTAAAACTGTAACACAAATTAAATTTTTTAATTTTTTGGACAAAAGGGAAAAATGTCAGCAAAAAGTAAGAACATTGATTATTTTTCCACCAAAAAAGAAAAGAAATTCAAAAATTTAAGAAATTCACTCGCAACGTCGCATGCAAGGCTTTTATAAGAAACTTCAAATTTTAAATTCAATTCAATTTATCACTTTCTCCGTAATAATTTCAGAGATCAATGCAAAGAATTAACTTTTTAAAAATAAACAATACCTGACTCGTGTCCTCAGCTATTCTAACATCTGTATCTTTTATATGAGATCTAACATGACGGATAAACTCAGCATACTAAAAACAATATTTTTATATATTTTACATAATATAATATATATGTCTATATTCTGCTTGTCTGTTTTTATCCAATCAGGCTGAATCGATCGACGATCGGTCCTTAGTTTTATGTGGCAACTCACATGACCCCACGAAAAAATTAAACTTCATAAATGTGTACTGCATTTAGGGTGTAAAAAATGTAAATAACAGAAATCATAAAAAAAATATTATGTCCGAAAAATAAACACTCCCTTGTAGTATACATTCTGCAGTATGAATTTTTTTCTAAAACTTGACATATTACTTCTAACTGTTTACAACAACAAGGTCAATATATGTTAAAATCAATCAATCAACCTTTCGGATCGTATAAGATGGAATTATATGCACTCTAGTTTTAAATAATCTCTCAATAGTTGTGAGATTTGTGTTTAAAAGTTCTTTATGTAGAATTCGGTTGAAATTTTGCCCCCTTAGATTCAGATCATCGGAAACCCATAATTTAGCGAATTCGGATCCAGGAAGCTAGATCCAACGGATCCAGGAAGCCAAATCCAACGGATCCAGGAAGCCAGATCCAACGGATCCATTGAGAGACCTTAGCACTGCAGAATAATATAATTTATTTTTAACTTCTCCCAAAAGCAAATATTTACGAGTGCATTACTATCTAGGCATTCACGGTTAGATTTAAGTTCTAAAAGATTTATAAATAAAAGGTTTGAACAAAATCAAATCATAACTATTTAAAACATATTTAATTTTATTCCTTACTTTTTGCACATATGGTTTTCAAAAAAAGCAATCAATAGAATTTAATTCCTACCATATTTTCAAAATTGAGAGATTTTCCATTGTTTTGCGTCATTTTCGCTTCCTGTGTTTTTATTCAGTAACATGAGTCATTAGTCTGAAAAATTAAAGAATAGACTGTCATAAATAAAAATCACAAGTTATCACAGAGAATTAAATCAATTTTCTTTATACGTAAATTTATATCTGGAACAGTTGTCCCGTGAGTTATGCAAAATTATGTTAAAAAAATATCTAAAATATGTCCTAACTAGGCCGATTATTACTAAGTCAAACTAATTTTGCGGATTTTCCGCTTCTCATTGTACAATCTCCTGAGTTCGTCTCCATACTTTAGCACTCGAACTCTTCGATCACACCAGTCTGGGTCCCTGTAGTCGGCCCACAGATCCATCACGGCTTCAAAGGGCTCCTTGAGGTTCTCCGGTTTAGGTTTCAGCTTCTCATCTGTCCACCATTGGAGGTCATCACGTCTGGTTGAGTAGGACCGTTTCTTATCTTTACTCCGGGGTGTGATCGGTTCAATGACATGATCAGGAATTGATGGAGGACTGATTGAATATACAGGAGAGGGTTTAGAAGACTGAGTAGTTAGTGAGGGGTTTGAAGGGTTTAAAGGATCAGATGAATTGGAAATTACTCTGATGCCATGAATCTCTTCTCTACTTTTTATAACTAAATTACTCTTCCTCGTGGTATGTGTCGAATCTGAAACTGGATATGTGACGAGATTTGCGCTTGATAAACTCTGGTTCCTCTTGTCAAGTAAAGATTTAGAATTTGACACTTGGCTAGAATTTCTCCTTTGACAATAACGCGAGGTTGGGGAGGTGGAGGTAACCATGGTTTTAAATCCTTCAACATTGGACTTTGAAAGTAGTTGGGTATACGCTGCCGCTTTAGACAGGATCAAATCTCTACTTTGTGACTCTGGTTCTAATGAAGCCTTTATTATACTAGTCTTTAGTATATTAAAGTGTCCTATATTCGACACCGTCTGTTTGGTGAGCAGATTTGTAATGTAGATTATGGATGTGACCTGAATCTTACCGCAGGAGTAGTTCTTGACAAAGAAGTTAACTAAGGTTGGGTTTATCAGCATTGTTGGATCCATGAAGAGATGAGTTAAACTGAGGTTTTCAATATTCATGTCATCCAAGTGCCTGGCTGTCCACTTCATAACCTCTCCTCCTCCTAACTTGATAACATTATCTAAGGTTTCTTTCTTCTTCTGGTTCTCCATGAGCACTAGGACTTTCCAATTCTTAAACACTCCGCCATCTTTTCTTGTTTTCCTTCTTATGTTCAAAGGGGGTAGATAGACTTTGGCTTTTAAAATCATACTTTCATACCTTGAGTGTCCCAGATCATACCCCTCCTCCTCCAACCAACGTTCCATTCTATGGCTGTCTGTGATGTATGTGACATGAAGGATCGGTATTCCTGCCGCGAGGGCTGATTCGACTTTTTCAGTTCGTCCCAGGCTACCAACTAGAAGATGAGTTATTTGACTAGAAAACCGTTCCCCTGGTTTTAGTATCTTTATATTTCCCCTCAGCCGTTTTATTTTTTCTCCAACATCTCCCTCCGTTCCCGGATGCAATCCTGACCAGGCAAACAGCTTCTCGTCCTCCATTATCGGTCTTAATTCATCCAGAGCACATAGTTTTTGTAGTTTTGGATAAAATACAAGCGCAGATAAACTTAGAATACCGCGTCTCATTTGTTTATTTATTAGTCGTCTTTAACAAAACAATAACAAAGCCCAGACTTTGATTTGGTGTATTTTTCGACCTACGCAAATCCTCTATACTCCACTTCTGACATACGCCAAATCCGCTATACTACACATCCGACCTACTAGCATGAGGTTTTAATGCTGCTACATGGAATTGTGGCCGCAGCGCCCGGCCACCTAGCCTGTCCTAGCCGCGGCGCTCGGCCCAGAACAATTGTCTTAATTTCTAGCCTAACTTAAATCCCTCAAATAATACAAAAATAAACAGCTGGTGTAGGTCCGATATTGCAGTAGGTCGGAAGTTCAGTGGGTGGGATGTTGTATGGTGTATTCATTCCTTTGATTTTTATTTTTTTTCTCAATTTTTTATAAATTTCACTACGTGTACCAACCTTTTTTATGGTATGAGAATAAATACTTGAGTACAAAGCAGTTGAAATTCCAGATTGAAAAGCCTGATAATATCCAATCAATATCTGCACTACGTCTTACGATAAGTTGCAAACAGCTGTTCATATTTTGAAGTTGTCATGGTGCATTTGTTAGGTTAACCTCCTTTACCTCGCCCAATGAAAGCTAGAGTGGTTACCGTATGAATCATATAGTGTGAGTCATTACTCACTCAGTGAATAAAGGAGTTTTCTTGTATCTGTATTGTATGTGCATATAGTTAAAAACCATAAAAAATATATTTTGCCAAAAAACAAATAAAAACTAAGGAAAGAAAGGCCAATCAAATCATTTATGTATATAAAAAATAGCATAATATATTTTATTTTATTTTATTTTATTATATTTTATTTTGTTTTATTATATTTTTTATTTTATTTTATTTTGTTGATCGAGTATTCCAAACAAAAGTTTTGATCTTAATAGGTTGGTTTTTAAGATTAAGATGTTTTTCCAATATATGTAGTGCATAGATAACACTATTTTATATTTCTATTTTATAAAATTTATATATAAATATTTGTTGTTTGAGATTGGTTATCAAATTAAAATGAGTTTAATTCTGCACATTTTTCATCAAAAAAGTATCTGGTTTAGATTTGAAATGTGTGTCGATATAGAGATAAATGTGAACAGAGAGGAACTTCATGAAAATGTTCATGTTCAGAACAAAAAATTTTTTGATTTGATCAAACAAGGTTAGAAACTCAGGAATCAAGTCTTTTTCACAAACTTAGATTTTCTAATGACCATATCTTTACAATCTGATGGCGTAACCATTGATATTTATAACATAGATTATTTGTTCTAGCGGAGCTCATTGTATAAAATATCTAAGGCCTACGACATTAGGTTGCAAAGACATAAGGATTAAAAAATTTGAGTTTGCGCAAAGACTTGTTTATTTCTAAGTAATGCATTAACTACGTACACAGTACATGAATAGGGTAAGCCGTACATGTCCTAAGTACATTGTAGTACGTGCAAAGTGTAAACGGTACATGTACACTGTACACTGTACAGCTCATGTCCCCTTTGCAGAGAGGACATGAGCTTTTAAAGATAGTTCAAACAATGCTCATTATAGGGGGGCTCATGGCAAGAGGCCTATACATGCCGCCTGAACAATATAAACAGTACATGCTGCATTTTACGCTGTACTCTGTATACTTTGTACATTATACAAGAGCACTGTACAGGATCATTAATAAACTGTATCCAACTGTACTCTGTATATTGTACATTATACAAGAGCACTGTACAGGATCATTAATAAACTGTATCCAACTGTACTCTGTATATTAAACAGGAGAAGCTTTTGATAGAGGTTCCATAATATCAGTATTAACTGTGCCCAAAAGTGCACTTATAGTCTAATATTCTCTGGATTACTAGCTGAGGTGCCAGGCGTTGCCCGTGAAATTTAAAAAAAATCTAATTTTGAAAAAAAATCCATCTTTGAAAAAATATTTTTAATTTTTTAGCCTTAGTTACCTCTAGAATATCTATTATTTCCTTTAAAAAAATCAGTCAATTCGGTTTAGCCGTCAGGGCAGCTATAGCTAACATAAATATATATACATACATACAAATATATATATATATATATATATAATTAGTACTTAATTTATGTACAAATAAAGATAAAGTACTTTATTCTGATGGTTTAGTACTTCTCTTATGTACAAATTAAGGTAAAGTACTTTATTCGGATGGTTTAGTAATTCTCTAATGTACAAATTAAGGTATAGTACTTTATTCTGATGGTTTATTACTTCTCTAATGTACAAATAAAGGTAAAGTACTTTATTCTGATGGTTTAGTAATTCTGTAATGTACAAATTAAGGTATAGTACTTTATTCTGATGGTCTATTACTTCTCTAATGTACAAATAAAGGTATAGTACTTTATTCGGATGGTTTCGTACTTTTCTCACGTACAAATTAAAGTAAAGTACTTTATTCTGATGGTTTAGTACTTCTCTAATGTATAAATTAAGATAAAGAACTTTATTCTGATTGTTTAGTACTTCTCTAATGTATAAATTAAGGTATAGTACTTTATTCTGATGGTTTAGTACTTCTCTAATGTACAAATAAAGATAAAGTACTTTATTCTGATGGTTTAGTACTTCTCTAATGTATAAATTAAGGTAAAGTACTTTATTCTGATGGGTTTAGTACTTCTCTAATGTACAAATTAAGGTAAAGTATTTTATTCTGATGGTTTAGTACTTCTCTAATGTACAAATTAAGGTAAAGTACTTTATTCTGATGGTTTAGTACTTCTCTAATGTACAAATTAAGGTAAAGTATTTTATTCTGATACAGTGATAGATAAAGTTCTTTATTCATGTACAAAAAAAGGTAACGAACTCCATTCTGTTAAATAATAGATAGTGAAAGATAAACTTGATAAATTAAAGCCTTTTTTTGCGCCTAGACTCTCATCTGAAGTTTATTCTCCTTTATCTGTTATTTTTCAAAGATCTCTGATTAAGGGATTTGTCCCAAGTGATTAGAAATTAGCAAATATAACCCCAATTTTCAAAGAGGGATCTTAGTTTGAGCCTGGTAAATCTTTGACATCAATTTTATGTAAAGTTATGGAGTCTATACTAAGAGATGCTTTGGTTGAACATTTAAAAGATAATGAACTTGTTTTTTTTCATCTCAGCATGGTTTTTGTTAATAAGCGCTCATGCCTAACAAATTTACTTGAGTACTTGAAATAGGGACAGAATTGATAGATCAAGGCAACTCAGTGGACATTTTATATCTAGACTTTGCTGAAAGCCTTTGAATCGTAAATTAGAAGTGTTACTTGAGAAGCATTGTATTTCAGAACAAATACAAGGTTGGATAAAAGAATGGTTGTCAGATAGACAACAAAGAGTTGTGTTAAATGGGGAGTACTCTAACTGGCTTCCTTTATTACTAGTGGAGTACCCCAGGGGTCAGTGCGAGGGCCAACCCTTCGCGGAGAAACTATCAACGTATCAACGTAACGTAATATGATATAGTTCTTTACTCATTTACAATTAAAGGGACCGTTCACTTATTGGGGTATTTTTTAAGGTAAAATAAATGCCTTTATAGCAGCTATTTATTTGTGTTTATCTGGATTTTCAGGAAAAAATAATTAGGGTTGTACTTTTTCCAGGTTTATTCTGTGAAAATTAAAATTACACTTTAACAGTACAGTACTACAGATACAAAGTTGTCTTTTCCAGATGCAGAAGAGTCTGTTCTTAGAAGATTACTAGAACTGAATGCCTTCAGGCAAGGAATATTTATACTTGGATGGTCTCAGTGTACTACAGTCTTTACAGTTTTATTATTAAAATTATTTTTATATTAGATATTGTTTGTTTTCAATTATAACTGTAGTTACTTGCTGTGTTGTCCTAATATGACAAAAACAAATATCTAAAACAAGGAATATAAGACAATTTAAATGTCGTCTTTGATCTTTTAATTTATTTGGGACATTCAGGAGTCAACTTAATTCACTTTCTTACTTAAAACAATAACTACAAAATTCTCCGAGTCCTCAGATTTCCAAAAAGTGGTCTGCATTCTTTACCGGAGATACTGCAAATACGTGAAGATTTTATTAAATAATTTTATTAAATGAAACCAGAATTACCGAAATCTAAACCAAATATGAAGAATTTAGTGATATCAAAAGCAGAAAAAGGCAGACCACATTCTGGAAGTGCCAAGACTAGGGGTATTTTGTGACTATTTCCCCCTTCTTAGTTCTAACTTCTATATCTCTTAGAATGTAATTCAAATAGTAAAGTTGGTTATGGTCCTCCAACAATCTGCAGTACATTATATGTGTTATACATAACATAACTGTTCCTAGTGTAAACATATTTCTTGGATTTAGAAGCTTGACAAATAAAGAGGATAAAACTCCTTACAGTTTAGCTTTGGAGAAAGGTAATTTATACAATTGTTTGTAGACGGTACAAATTCTACTTTTTCTCATGTTTATGTACACTACCCTGTACAATACACTCTGCACTATCCTGTATAGGACACTGTACACGTGTATAGTACACTAACCTGTACAGTGTTCTGTACACAAATGCTTATTAGTACACTGTACACTATCCTGTACAGTACACTTTACATTATCCCGTACAGTATGCTGTACACTGTTCTGTACAATACAATGTAAACTGTTCTGTATAGTACAATGTACACTGTACACTATTCTGTACAGTTCACTTCACATTATTCATTACAGTACACTGTACACTATCCTGTATAATAGTACACTTTACACTACCTTTTACAGTACACTTTACACTAATGCTATATAATACACTGTACACTATCATGTACTGTATGCTATACACTTTTTTGTACAGTACACGTTACACTGGTCTGTACAGTACATTTTACACTATTCTGTACAGTACACTTAACATTATCCTGTACATTACACTGTAGACTATTATGTACAGTACTTTGAAAACTATCCTGTACAGTACACTGTATACTATCCTGTACAGTAAACTGTGCAATATCCTGTTGAGTACTGTATAAACTATCCTGTGCAATACACTTTAAACTAACCTGTACAGTTTACTGTACACTTTCCTGTACAGTATATACTGTACACTATCCGTTATAGTACTCGTTACACTAGCCTGTGCAGTACAATTTACATTATCCTATATAGTAGACTTTATACTATCCTGTACACTAAACTGTTCATTATCCTATATAGTACACTTTATACTATCCTGTACACTAAACTGTTCATTATCCTGTATAGTACACTTTATACTATCCTGTACACTGAACTGTAAACTATCCTATATAATACACTTTATACTATCCTGTACACTAAACTGTACACTATCCTTTATAGTACACTTTATACTATCCTGTACACTAAATTGTACACAATCCTTTACAGTACACTTTATACTATCCTGTACACTTAACTGTACACTATCCTATATAGTACACTTTATACTATCCTGTACACTAAATTGTTCACTATCCTATACAGTACACTTTATACTATCCTGTACACTAAACTGTTTACTATCCTATATAGTACACTTTATACTATCCTGTACACTAAACTGTTTACTATCCTTTATAGTACACTTTATACTATCCTGTACACTATACTGTTCACTATCCTATATAGTACACTTTATACTATCCTGTACATTAAACTCTACACTGTCCTATATAGTACACTTTATACTATCCTGTACACTAAACTGTTCACTATCCTATATAGTACACTTTATACTATCCTGTACACTAAACTGTACACTATCCTATATAGTACACTTTATACTATACTGTACATTAAGCTGTACACTATCCTATATAGTACACTTTATACTATCCTGTACACTAAACTGTACATTATCCTATATAGTACACTTTATACTATCATGTACACTGAACTGTACACTATCCTATATAGTACACTTTATACTATCCTGTACACTAAACTGTACACTATCTTATATTGTACACTTTATACTATCCTGTACATTAAACTGTACACTGTCCTACATTAATACACTTTATACTATCCTGTACACTGAACTGTTCACGATCCTATATAGTACACTTATCCTGTACACTAAACTGTACACGGTCCTGTACAAAAACCTTTACATTTACCTATACAGTACACTGTTTTTGTGTAGGCTGCAGTACTAATATTCTTGAGTTATTGAAGATCCCCTCAGCAGTGGAAGAAAATAAGGAATACTGCCATTTATATCTAGTTAATTGATTCAAAGATTAATAATAGAATACGATAAAATAATTATTATTCATCATATTTATTAATAATAAAGGGTTTTAAAAAAAACACTTCACACTTTTTCTATCAGAGGCTTAATTTTTTCCCGATCATAATGAAGTTAATATTACAATGTCTCTAGTATGTTATGACTTTGTCAACCCTCTGCTCTGAATAAATGATCTTAAGTGTACATATGATACATGAGCAATACAAATTATATTATTGAAATATGGAGGTTTCTTTTGGTAATTTCGTTGGTAGGTAGGCCCTTGAATTGAAATAAATAAATGATAGTTTAGGAAAGTATTGAAGCTATTGAACAATCTTTACACAAAATTATCTGTGAATTAGTTGAGGAACTTCTGGAGAAGAATGGACAGTCACTACCTAAGGCGGGGATTATTTAAAAATAATTAAAGTTAATCCAACCCCCCTTTCTCTTGCCTAAGTCCATATTATTATTATTATTAGATAATTTTTGTTGTTGTTTTGAATACTTCACTTTTTGATCAATGATCGGTATCCTTGTGTTTTGTTTTTGCTTTTATCTGACGGTCAGAGTAAAACTTTACTTTATTGAAATAGAGTAAATAGCAGACTTTTAAATTTTCAAAACTGTTCAGATTTTTAGAACTTCTTGAATAGGACAAACCCCCAATGGTTTTATTCTCCAATCTCCAACCGAACCATAGATCAAGATTTTTCGTGTTTTTGACTTTACAGGTTTCTGTCCTACACTCAATTGAATTTTTTTTTTCACTGAGATTATTTGATTTAGTTTTGTCTGGTCTGATCTAAGTTAAATAAAATATTATTAAAACACTCCCCTTGAAACTTGAGATATCTCTACTATGGGAAAGATGCGAGGATAGTGCTGTTTTTTATCCTGTTCCAGGTAAATACATGATACAGTATGCCCAATAAACTTGCCCGTCCAAGTAAAGTAAATAACGTTTGATTGATATCTTACCTGTTTTCAATCATAACTCCTCTTAATGAATAGCTATTGAGAAGAACAAACATGGTTTGAATTTCTTGTATTTGAACCAAATGAATTTGCTTCTCTCATTCAATTGTGCGTTGAATCAAGACAGGCGCTAAAAGGTCACAAAGTACAGGGTGGCTTCAGAGACGTTTTTACGGAATTTAAACAGCCTGTTTCCTTATATTGATGACTCCCAGCAGTCGTATATTCATGACTCCCTGCAGTCTGTTTCCTTATATTCATGACTCCCTGTAGCCTGTTTCCTTATATTCATGACTTCCTGCAGTCTGTTTCCTTATATTCATGACTCCCTGCAGTATATTTCCTTATATTCATGACTCCCTGCAGTCTATTTCCTTATATTGATGACTCCGTGCAGCCTGTTTCCGTATATTTATGACTCCCTGCAGTCTGTTTCCTTATATTCATGACTCCCTGCAGTCTGTTTCCTTATATTCATGACTCCATGCAGTATATTTCCTTATATTCATGACTCCCTGCAGTCTGTTTCCTAATATTCATGACTCCCTCCACTTTATTTCCTTATATTGATGACTCCGTGCAGCCTGTTTCCGTATATTTATGACTCCCTGCAGTCTGTTTCCTTATATTAATGACTCCCTGCAGTCTGTTTCCTTATATTCATGACTGCAGCCTGTTTCCGTATATTTATGACTCCCTGCAGTCTGTTTCCTTATATTAATGACTCCCTGCAGTCTGTTTCCTTATATTCATGACTCCCTGCAGCCTGTTTCCTTATATTCATGACTCCCTGCAGCCTGTTTCCTTATATTCATGACTCCCTGCAGTCTGTTTCCTTATATTTATGACTCCCTGCAGCCTGTTTCCTTATATTCATGACTCCCTGCAGCCTGTTTCCGTATATTCATGACTCCCTGCAGTCTGTTTCCTTAAATTCATTACTCCCTGCTGTCTGTTTCCGTATATTGATGACTCCCTGCAGCCTGTTTCCGTATATTCAAGACTCCCTGCATGCAACCTGTTTCCTTATTTTCATGACTCCCTGCAACTATCAACTTTGCCAAACCAATAAATAAGCCATTCAAGTCAGAAGACTTCAATTAAACTTGAAATCCTCATATCTAAAGAGTCTAAGCCTTTTTGGGTAACCCTGTACATAATTTAGGGATGTACGGCGGATTTCTACTATACCTGGATCGGAAGAATAATGAGTTGACCGTTGAGAGCTTTTGCCGTATCGTAGGAGGTTCAGAAAGGTGCCAGATCATAGACAGGTATAATAAGAAAACAAAACAATACTTTGAAGAATTGGGAAAAAGGTCCTACAGTAAGCCCCCTAATATGTAATTGATGTTTCTTTAAAGCCAACAGTTTTACCTTTAGCTTGTAAATAAACTTATCAAGTAAAATGGGCCTGTTAAAACTGCACAATGTGACAATTACTGTGTTTCTTCTTCCTTTGAAAATAAAAGATAAAAGCTTGATTCTAACAGTCGTCTTCCTGTTCCAGAGTTTTATGGGTCCCACTGTAGGATAAACCACAACTAAAGAAATTGATTACTTACCTCAAACTCTAATTTTATAATCCCTATATATTTGCAATTTGATATATGATATATATATTAATTTAACTAATTGAACTCATAGTTTGAAATTCAAAAGTGAACGATGAAAGAATTAGAAATTCCAAATTTGAGGTGACACACAGTGGGGTACTAGGGTAGTACGCTACTTTGACTAAATCAAGGTTTTAGCGTGCTGCTGACGGCCCTAATTATTTTCTTTATATATTTAGATTATCCCGAAACCTTGTGCTTTTACTATAAAATATATGTTTTTCTTCCCAAATAGCTCCTTGATACAAAGACGACATCTAAATATATTGCAGGTTTACAGGATCCATTCTAGAATAAATTTATGAACGGGAAATGTAATCATAAATTGAAATCATTATAAATCAATGCTAGCTATAACAATTCAAACAATGTTTGTAAATAAAAAGATTATCAGAATATATTAATTTTGTCCATTCTCACCATGACAAATGCATTTTATAAGGAGTATTGTGACAAAACCAGTTCCCCACCCTGACCCCCTAAAATACCCCACCGTGTGTGATTACGTCTTGGCTTTGTTTTCAACTCAGCAAGACACAAATACTTTTTGTAGCCTTGGCAGGCATTTACATTTACACGGTTGTTTCTAGTTTAAGTTTAGCATGAGTAATTGAATATTACTCAATATTTGCAATAACATTTTGGTTCATAGTGTTGATAAAATATTTAAAACTTTTGAGGAAAATTATTTAAAACTCAGCTGGAAAGCACAGTTTAATCGAAGAATAGTCTCCGGTTTTTTTTTCTTGCATTTTTTTTCTAGATGCTTAACTATTTTATTCACAATTTATTTTACTTTTGGTCGAAATATCTCAACATTGTCTATGCAATTATGGCTGACAGAGAGCTTTAAGTTTATCACGTAAAATGTCTGTAAATTAGAATTTACTTATTTACATAACTTTTTTTTTAATTACACATTAGAACGGGAAAAGTGACAGAAGGGGTCTTTGGAAAGGCAAGACGAAGAAAACACCGGAAGAAAGTTTTGTGTTGTTTCTGAACTTATTTGTGAAATAATGAAGAAAACGCTATCTAATAAGGTCAACCAGAGCTGGGAACTTTAGAATGGTGGATATCGAGATCAATGCGTGATCCTCCCTTTTTCTCAATCTCAAGACTAACCTAATCTTGAACTTGTATCCTGAAAAGTGTATAAAATTCAATCAATTAGAGTCGCGTATCAGAAGCCGGGAAATTTGAAATTTTTCGCGCCATTTAAGATTATCAAACAAAAACGGAAGGGACTCTCAAATTTTGAAAAACCGGTTTTTGATTTTTCTCTACTATATCCCAAAAAGTGTGGATTAAGCAAGAAATTAAGTGTCCACATTGTATATTCGGATTAAGCAGTCGGGATCCCATTCTGAAGATCCCAGCTCCGGTTCTTTTTCCTACAGTTCAATTTGTTGACTAACAAACCGGGCGATGTGACATCATTCTTGGTAAATAACCTGTGGTTTAACACAATCGTTGATGTCATGACGGATATTGTTAATCCGGATTCTGAGACCGTTCAGTGGTAATTGATAAAACGTTTCCGGTTTCAAATCCATGACCTACTTCTGATCCAGGATTCGATTCTGAATTAAGAATCGATAAAATATGCAACCGGATCCTCTGTTCGGTATACGGTGCATAGCAAGATCTGAATATATTGCACAAATCAATTGATAAATCTCTATTTTTCAAAGCTAAGTGAATGAAAATCTTGTTTTACTGTCTTCAATCAATCCTTCAATGCTTGAAAGTATTGCCAGATGGAATAATAAAAATGTTAACTTGATGTCCTGTTCGTAGGCCAATTTGTAGATGTGGTAAATATTGTCTTAAAAATATGTTTTAAATATTTTATATTTATCATGCAAGTTTTATGTATGTATATGTTTCTTTAATATATCAGTTGTAATTTAAAAAAATATCAAACAAATATATAGAAATATATTTCAAGGTTGAAAATGTATTAATTTAAACCCTCTTTATACTTAATTAGGAATTTAAGTTTGAAATTTAGGAATGGAGAAGTGAGGAAAGAGGATCTGGAAAGAGATGAATACAACTATTGAATTCACCTGATTTTTTTGAAAGAGTATTTAATTAGGAGAGATTATCACCAAAGGAATTGAGTCTTTGACATAAACTCAAATTTTCTAATCCTTATATCTATCGAACTTGATGTTGTAGACTTTTGATATTTCAAACTAAATTAATTTGATGCAACAGAATTCATAGTTTGAAATTTCTAAGGTCTACGACATTGGGTTGCAGAGATATATGAATTAGATAATCAGAGTTTGTGTCAAAGACTCAATTCCTTTAGCAACGTAATAAGTGCAATGAATGACTCACAAAGGTTAACTTAACAATTATTATTAATTATTATATTTATAATTTAAGTTATACTTTAAGATTTTTAAAAATAAATAATAAAGAACTCGACTTTGACACTTAATTCATGAATTTAAATAGTCCAATGAACATAGGACACATCAACTGTGCAGTTTACACAGACCTATTTCACCCAGTTGAGTGATTACTAGAAAACTCTGAAATAGGGAGACGACTTTATTGATAAAGTTATAACTTTAAAGAAGACCAATAAGCATTGAGAATCAGCTTAATGACACTGTTCAAGCAAAGCCTCCATTTCTGTTTGCAGTCTTTTTAATTTGTATTTTTGATATTGAACTATAATTGCAATTATTTTGTTAGAGAAGTTTAAATTGAACCTTGTGCAACATGTATATTGTTCTAAACTTGCGTTTGAGGCCGGCCACAGATTACACAGATAGGATAGGAGAGGTTGTCATTGTATGAGGCCCCACAGATAGGATAGGAGAGGTAGTCATTGTCTTATGGCAGAGAGACCAGAACTAAGTTTGTTTACATTAATTTTATAAACTGCAGTACTGCAGTCTGCATAACTGTATTTGTACATCACAAAAATGCGATGTTGGATTATCTTCATGCTTGAAAGCAAAATAAAACCTAACCAAATACTCTTTTCTCTAAAATCCTAATTTAGAACTATGGGTTTCCCTATCAGTAGGAATATACAAAATTAACCTGCCTAAAAATCGACAATAACCTTCCCTTGCCTATCTGTCTAATCCGTTTTTATTTAAAGAGACAGACCCACTATGTAACATATTTGAACTGAGAATGCAGTATTGTAGATAAAAACTTTAGAGGATTCATTTGATACCAATGAGACACAAAGTTTTTAAATAAGAGTGAATAGTCGTTTGTAATATTTCACCAGTTGTTTCAACCAGCTGAAGAAAGTTTTTTTTTACAATTCTTGAATAACATTGACAAAAGATGTAACAAATACTATTCCACAAACTAGTTGCATATTTACAAACAGGTTGAGGAAAATAATCAGCTTTTATCATTGGAAACAAGTTATTGAAATTCATTTTATTTAAATTCGTTTAGCTAGGGTCGCTTGTTGGGGAATTACTTAATTTTAATTGTGAAGACGACATTTAGAAGAAATCTGCCAAGAAAAAATTAGAAACAGCAAAGGTAATAGTGATAGTGAAATTATCGATTCTACGGTTCTACTATGGCTTTCAGCCATACTTAATTTTTTAGAAATATGTTCCAGACAGCAAATCAGTTTATAAATATTTTTTTCAATGTTTTGTCCGGGTTATTAGAAAATTGTTAAAAACGTTTCTTTTGCTATCTGAAACAACTGGTAAAATATTACAAACGACTTTACGCTCTTATTTAAAAATTGTACACCTTAAAATGAATCCTAAAGTTTTCCTAAAATACTGCACTTTCAGCTCAAATATGTTACATAGTCAGTCACTTCCTTTAAATAAAAATTGTTCTTTTGCTAAAGGTTATTTCCAAATTTTTATCAGTGTGCAGTTTTTTAGATGTTAAATAATGACAACCTCATGTAAACGGTTCAACCAACGTCTTAATTTCTTACTCAGGGTTGTGAATTTTCAGACCAGCGTCCAATATTCTGAATCAATGAATACATGTTAACGCCCCCCCCCCCATCTCTTTTTCGATCAATCAAGCAGAAAACCATAAAAAATTCAATTTTTTAAATTTTATTTCCATTTTAGTAAATATAAAAGAAACGTACTAAATTATTTCTTAATTTTTCCTCATACGTTTGATTTTGTGGCAAAACGGATTTGCACAATTAAATTATAGATAATTATGTTTGAGATACAATTTAACTTTGGCAATACATATGTATGCTTAATTATATATATATGTTTTATTTTATTTTTTCTTGCAGTTCCAAGTATTTTTTTTCAAAATCCTTTTGAATTGTTAGACAATAACAAAATACCCCTTGACAGTTCAACTCAGAACATAAAATCCTCTAAAATTAAGAAAACATAGTTGACTACAGTTTTAAGATTATTACATTTTTATTCTGTGACAAGAAAGTTTAAAAACTTTAAAAGTTTCGCCAATTTGTGAAGTTTTTACCCGAGGAACTATGGGAACCAACCACATTTTACAGGGAGGGGTTAAAGGGACTCCTCTTCAATTTTAAAAGAGGATGGGGTCGGGTGTCTCTTAAGCGCTGAAATCAAATCTTTTTTGGCATAACTTTAACCACCTTTCACGCACATTCCCTTTAAAGTGATAAACACGACTCAATGTGACAGTCATGGATACAGTTTGGAATTCTTGGTAAACTTTTATTCTTTTCTGCCATCTTGAATCTTGAATCTTGAATCTTGAATCTTGAATCTTGAATCTTGAAACTTGAATCTTGAATCTTAAATCTTGAACCTTGAATCTTGAATCTTGAATCTTGATTCTTGAATGTTAAATCTTGAATCTTGAATCTTAAATCTTGAATCTTGAACCTTGAATCTTGAATCTTGAACCTTGAATCTTATGCTTGCAAGAAAAAATGAGCATGAATTATATTTGTAAAAGTAAAGTTTCCCCCAGGATATATTTCCCCCGGTTTATCGGGGAACCTTGATGGAAAGAATAGAAAGCTTAATATTCCCCTGGGCTTCTCTATACACATGTAGAAACTGTGAAATATTTCAATATTTGATCGAGCAACAAATTTTGGTGAATATCCCTCCAGACATCATCTTCATATCAATACGCCATAGTCACAAAGATAAATTATAAATGCCATAGTCACGAATACAAAATATAAACGCCACAAATACAAACATAAATGCCATAGTCACAAACGAACAATTTTAACGCCACAGTCACAAACGCAATATGTAAACGCTATTGCAGTCACAAACGCTTGATATTAACGCCACAGTCACAAATCCGGGATATAAGCTACGTTTTTTAACAAAAAACCATAATAGATTTTAAACTTCTCTGTTTCAAGTTGCAACTTAATTCATTGTAATTCATATCATAATTTTAGGTGGTTTTAAGAAAGGTCTAACTCCACACTTTTTCAAGAAAAAGTCTTATAATTAAAAATATTCTCCATTAATGAGTATCTTTGTTTTTGAAGTCTTTGATTTGTTGTAAATTGTCTTTAATATTGAAAATAGATGTTTAATACCTCTCAATTATATCAATTCATTGCTCTGAAGTCCCTTCGACTGTGGATCTCGAAACATGACATTGATACTTTTTTAGATTATTTAGAAGAGGGGGGGAGGGGTACAGTTATGCGCACAAGAGATTGATTTTATATTTTCTATTGGCCCAGATATTTCTAAATGACGAATAAATATAGGATAGTTTTGTACATCCCAAAAATTCTTTCCAAAGAATGTCTTCTTGAATCTTGGTCCTTAGTTGTTTGAATCCTTCCTCTATCCAATTGTTTTTTCATTTTGTCCTGTAGATTCGCACATACACAGTCAGGGTCAACAAACTTCAGCAATGTATGTTTAACCATATTATTCAGGATTTTAAATTTAACAGTAACCCTGAAACTTATATCTAGAATGCCCATGTTAGAAAAAAAAATAATAATTTAATCCTGTTGAACATTGGTTTTACTTAAGTGCATGCTGCGTATTTCTGAAGTCAATAACTGAAAGAAGATGAACTATTAAGTATTTTAAATTACCAAAAAATAAAAAATAAAACTTGCATAAATTTTCATTATTAGTCTTAAATGAGAAATTTTTATTTTTAACTTTAATAATTTATTTTCTTTAATTTTAC